CGAGGACGGCCCGCGGTGGTGTTTACGCGCGCGTACCAGTTACAGCGCCGCGTGGTCGGCGACGGTGGACGGAACTGGCGCGGCGAACAAGGCCCAAAAGCAGGATCGCGCGTGCACCGCGAAGTGCCGAAGCCGCGCTGCCGGGCTGTTCATGAAGAACTGGGGGACCCGGCGATCATGATTATTGGACGCGGCGGCCGCGGGGGTTTATTTCAAGACCTAGCACTAACCAATTTATTTATACAAAAGTTAAGTATAGCGCGCGTTAGCGTCTCTCCGCGCCGCGGTCGAGTGTTTTCGTACGCGTGTGCGTGTGTATACGTGCGCGCCTCGTGTCTTCGCACGCGCGCGCGTATGTGTGTGTGTATGTATGTGTGTGTGTGTGTGTGTGTGTGTTCGCGTGCCGCCGCCATGGGGTATGGAACATACGAATATATCTCGCCGGCGTGCGGTTTTATTTCGGTCCGTGTACGCGCACTGCGCGCGCCTCACATCCGCCGTCTTGTATTTTTACAGATCGCCAACGTCCGTCCGCCGCCGGCGAACTTCGCGCCCAAACTTTTCACGTGCACGCGCAGCTGCGCGATCCGCGCGCACGTCCGAACGGTACGGATGGGGGTGGGCCAGAGGACAACACCGACATTATTTGGGAAAAATCTCATTTTTCCGAGTCGTAACTCTTTTTTCTCCGTTCGGGCCGTTGCAAATTTTCTCTCCCCCCCATCATACTCCTCCTACTCCTCCTCCTCCTCCTCCTCCTTCTCCTCCCAATCCTAACGTGACCATACGGTATCGGGTTAGGGCCAAAGAGCCGCACTGCAGTCTCAAACTGTAATGCGTGCTGTACACGGTCCAAACTCGTCGGCCTACCACAGCGTGCCGGAGGTTGGATACGGAAAATGTTTGACCTGGACCGTGGAAATATGTATTAGGTGAGCATGTGGGCCGGTGCAGCAGTCCTAAATACAATATAGTGCATTCAAATGGAATACGAATATGGTTAAATGAACAAATCACAACTATTAAATGTGCAATTACAATTTAAATACTAAGTAATTGAACTTCGATTTAAACGAATCATGATAACGCAGTTTAATAATTTTAGGTAACGCTATTGAATAAATAATGAATAATAAATACTGTTGGTATGTATATGGTGCAAGGACTTGGACAAAAAGTTCAATTCTACGGTCCAAACCTGCTGTTCAATCCTCATATAGTGTGCGGGTATCTTAAGTACGCGGTACGTCATTGTCTCCTACCCTAACACCAATCGTAAGCACACGTTTATCCTTACCTCCCGCGCACGATCCTACCGGTTCTGTAGAGTGAACACTTTTTTTATTATTATTATTATTATTATTATTATATAATCTCCCCTTTTCCTGCATGGTACTGTACCAACTCGAATTTCGATGCGTATGCGTGTGTGTGTGTACGTGCGCTTGTGAACAGATGTTGCCGTGTCGGCGGTGATAGCGGCACGTGTCATCATCCCCGTCGCCACCGTTGCACCGTCATAGCGGTGGTTTTAAGTAACGGCGGCGGTGGTGGTGGCTGCCAAATGACGCGGTGGTGGTCGCGGGCACATGTGACTCGGTACGGGTGGCAGTGGCAATTGATGCTGCGGAGGTGGTAGTAGTGGTGGTAGCGGCACGACGTGGGTCGTGGACGTCGTCGTCTCGGCGGGAGGAAAACACATGGGTTGAGCGCGCGATGCTAGCACCTGTTGGGAGCTCGGTCGATCATCGACGCTGCAGCAGTGCGGGGAAGTTGTCGGGCTCTTTTCGAACCACGTTGCATCGCCTCTCCTATCCGGGTCTCTACCCACGCGTGTTGCCCGACCCGTTCGTCCCCTGTTCGCGCGGCAACGCCAACTTTTCACCTTTCGAGACGATGTTTGCTTTTGATTGCCGGTACACGCAAGACGTCAAAACCACCCCCAACCCTACCCCACGCAGCAGTATTTTCCAGTGATTTCTCCAAAAATTTATCAATATTCAATACGATGAATGTATTCCAGAGTTCATTTACACAACGCGCTTTATTTTCTCGAATACCAGTTCGACACAAATCTGAGCTTTGAACTTCCAATGTAAAGTATTTCAACGGTACACGTTGTTACACTATTTTCCAGAACGTTCGAGCACGCGAAATAGAAATAAGTATACTTTCGTAAAAAATTATATCAAAAGCCTTCTACGGTGATACAATTACACATTACGTACAGAATTTAATTCACAAATTAAAAATGTACTATGTGATTTTAATTCAAAATTCACATAGGTTCCTTTTAGTGTAAAATATGAAAGCACAATTAAAAAAAAAAAAAAAAAACATTATTGAATTATTCGTTTAACGCCTAACAGTTTATGAATTTTAATTATAATCGATGCATAATATATCTGAACAACACGTAACAGAATAATTAAATATTGATGATTCTACTTCATACTTGAAAAAAAAAGTCTAATAATTAATTAGATAATGAATCGTAATACCTAATAATTACTTATTGATTAGGTAATGCAAGAATTTTATCATTCGATTTTTTAATAGATTAAAAATTGACATTTAAATATTAAGCTAATTTAATTATTATATACTCGTATTAATATAATATGTTTTTATATTCTTTTAGGTATAAACTTCGTAAATTTAATTTTAAATAATCAGTACTTATAATATTTGACCTTTACACATTTTAATTATGTTTTACAATTGTTTCATGATTTAGTTGTTTTAATAAATTATTATTATTTTTTTTTTTTATTAAAAATTTTTGCAATATTCATAAATAATGTTGTATAATACATAATTAATAATCACTAGCTGATAATTATATACTTATGTTAAATTTAAATGTAAGTCATACTATACTTATATACTATACATAATTTATGAACAAATCGTTTTATTATTATTCATAATAAATGGTATTACTGCGAGATATTACTTATTACTTTTCCGACATTAATATAAAAATATTCAATTTTTTTTTTTTACTAACCACATGATAAAAAAATAACATGTAGTAAATGCTTTAAATTTCCTAATATAAATTTATTATTAAATTTTTTAAAAAATAACTATTTTTTTTTTTAGTTTTTAGTAAAATAGTACTAGGTATCTGTACTAATCTTTGTGTTTTGGTATTATCTCGTATAGTTTTCCAGATAAGTTATTATATAATTGTTATGAGGAAGGATATTATGGAGAAATAAAAAGTTAGACAAATAAATAGGTAGCTATAACCTTAATCTTCGATATTTCCTGTAAATATTAATGTTTATGAATTTTATTAAATTATAAATAAACTTTACGAAATTTTAAATGCGTGCTCAGTCATCAGACTATGGTTTATTTTAAATACCTAATGGTAAGGTTGATGGAAAGAAATTTTTAGGAAAAGCCATGATCCTAGACCTGTTACTTGGAGAAAAGTATTAATGTTGACTAGAACACCTACGGCTTACGAAAACATTAATAAGATTAATTATTAATAATATAATTAGTTAAAAATGGTTTTTTATATGATTTCCTCATATTGTTATTAATTTAAAAATGTATTATTATAAATTTGCTGTAAAATGTCAACCCTGGGTTGTTGTGCTTATGTTTTAAAATTATAATACGTTGTCACACTCATAAACATGTGCGATAGAGATTGCAATAAAGCACGTGTGGCTTTCTGCCATAAGTGTAGTATTTATTGTTAGTGAAAACTATTATTTTGACAAGTAAGTGAGTAAGAATTTGACAAAAGGTAAACAAACTCGTGGACGTAAATCTACTAAAAACAAAACTATCTACAGTAAGTACTACAGATATAGTAAAACCTATAATAGTACTAAGTAGGCCAGTACCGACATCATAAAAAACAGTCTCTTATGTACAAAATTCCATAAATTTTTCTTACGATATTATATATACATACAATACATAATTTATAAAATATAAGTAAACTTGTAAATAATAGCGAATTTAACAAAAGAAATTTTCTAAATTTCCTTGTGACATACAATCGGTTTTTTAACACGATATATACAAGCATTTAATACTACTACAAATACTACTATAGTTACCACACACATTCACCAGTAATTTATGTAATTGATTAATGTATGTACAAATCCTTGAACCGACTTGCAGTATGAGAATCAATCTGTGGTTAATAGTTAATACATCAAAACATTACAATGGTCATTACTATCGCGCATTCAAGGCAATTTCGTCAGCTCATTCAAAGTAAATTAATAGTTGATACTAAATTTATGAGAACCAAAATAGGGAAATTGAACGTAAAAATATATCTATGTTTTCAATAACGCAATATAATCGCCTGCGTAAGTAAAGTTCATGTTTTCGTTTATAATACTAATTGATCAATTAACTAATATTCTAATTACTCATATTAGTATTACACCTAATAATCGGTTTCGACAAGGTCTGTGAAATTGTATTATAACATACATATTAAATGTATCTTAAGAATTTACAGAGTATATAAAGTAAAAACAATATATGTATGAGGTATAAGGTAAGAACACTAATGTTAAGTGATTTTTATATTTTTATAAAAATATTTTGTTAAAAGTGTAATCTTAACAGTTCCGCAATAACCGTATGTGTTGTGTGTGTGCTAAACACACATTCCCAGGGCCCAGCATATAATGAGGCCAATGATAAAAATTGAAAAATTTGTAAAAATAAAAAATAAATAAAACCATTTTGTTGTAATAATTATTAATGGAGATTGAACAAGATTTGAATTATTTTGATTTGAACACATAATTCAACCTTTCTTTTGCGGCCTATGTAATTGAAATTAAAAATAGTTAGGGTACGATTGATTAAAGATAAAATTTTTCAGCAGCGCCTAGACGCGGAAGGAACACAAATTAGTGTCATTGCGGCACTGCATGTGAAAATTTGTTCTTATAACACGTTAATAATTATGCACAGTATATTGTTAAGTATTTAAATAAATTAATACTCACCACATAGTACAGATACTTCAAACTTTTTAATAATCTGAAAAAAAAAGATCAACTTTAAAAATGTTAAATATAAATAACTAATATGGTAAATTGCATTTATTTCATATAAAATAATATAAAAAGCATATTAATTAAAATGTTATTTATAAATTATTTGTATTGTTTTTTTCATAATTTTTAAGTAATCAAAATTCTGAATAATATAGAACTATAAATCCAGATATACTTATAATTAATATTAGCGCTTGGATATTATTAAAATATTTAATTTTATAAGAAATAAATAATTTGTCAAATGAATACGTTTTACAGAACTTTTCAAAACTTTGATAAAACGTTACATTTTGTGCACATCATATATTTATAAGACACATTTCAAATATAGGTATTCATATTCATAATTATCTAAAGCTTGTACTTGAATCATAAAGAAAATCAATTTAATTTTTAACTGATTACTTTATGTTTTATTTAGATTAATATTTAAATAAATAACTGCGCATAAATGGCAAAATAAAAATATATATTGATCCAAAAAAAACTTAGAGACATATTGTAATATATAGAAAAATAGTTTTATACAAATAAATAAAACTTTAAAGACGTCATAGTTTTTATCGTTATGATTCAGTATTAATGAAAAAAAACTGTAATTTAATAAAAAAAAAACTTGAAATTGAAAACAATTGTTAAAATACTATTGATTAAATACGATTATTTTAAATAATTCTATATTGATAGCTGCTTTAAAATATATTGAAATCGTTACATGTAATTAATATTTGTTTGGAAATTATTATTCAAAACTTGATTATTTATAAACATGTAGGTACCACAATACCACGTGATATATATTATTTTAAATACTAAACCATGTGAAAGATAATTCAAACTTGTTTAGTAGTAATAATTTTCGTTATATTATAAAGCTCATTGTAAATAATTATTACGAACGCAAACAAATGTTTTTTTTATTTAACTCTAGATTTAATTTGCTATAGATTTATAGCATCATATTAATAAATACTCAATGTTCAAGTGTTATTGTATACTATTCGTTTATTAATAAATTAGTATTAAAATATATTTTCTGTAAAATTTCAATGTCAAAATATCGGTTTAAATATTTATTGACAGCGTTTTCAATCGTGAAAACTCTTAAATTAATTTAAATTAATTATAACTAGATATATCAATATTATTTTATTTTTAAATCTGTAAATTATCTGTACAATCATTTTTTTACAAATAACAACATGAATTATATAACAAAATAATTTCGGTGCACTTGTAAGTAAAAGCTTGTGTTGGTAGTAAGATGTTCTTAAATTAGCCCATACATATATAGGTTGCATCCACTTCACTTAGTGAAATCGCTAATTACATGAATTGGACATCCACTTCATGAAGTGTGTCAATTTAGTGAAATTTATGTTTTTCTATACAACGTGGACAATTTTTCGATTTTTTTGTAAAGTGGATAAAAGTAATATTATCTATACATATTGTGAAATATTAAATTTTTAAAATTAGCCGGCTACAATTAATTTGCGCTTATTTACCATATTTACCACTCATTTGCGTAAAATAACATTTTTCGAATTCTTTCATACATTTAATTATTAACTTAGTAATTAATTGTAGTAATATCAAATGGTCAACATTTTTGCTTTCTCAAGGACTTCTAAGGATCAATCACAAGTTTTATTAAAATTTATTCATGGTAAGATGGATGCACCGTGACTCCTCAATCGTGTATACCTTTTTGAGTTCTTGCCACCCATACCAGATCCCATGAGACCTTACAAATTCCAATTTTCCGTTAAAATTATTTATCCAATGATCCTTTTGTTAGACTAATGCATAGTTTAAATTATAATTATGTTGATATATGGCCTTACTCTCTGTAATTTTAATGTGTTTTGTTTATTTTTATTAATAATACTTTGTTATTACAATACTTATGTCATCTTATGTTATAATAATTACTTTTATATGTATTATTCATACTATTTATACCTACGTAAAGGCCGATTGTGCGTGACCACACAATTACCAATTACCATAAGTATATAGCTAATTTCATAAAAATTAAATGCTAATCTTAAATAATAATAAATAATAAAATTTAAAATAAACTAAATCATTTAAACAAAATAAAGAAATAAAATTGTCACTTTTATTGTTTAATGTCATATCAAATCATAAGATTTACAAAATCCAATTTTTCACAATATAGATAATATATATATATATATATATTACTTTTATCCTCTTCATGAAAAAGTCGAAAATTTTCCATATATCGTAAAAAAACATCAATTTCACCAAGTGGACGCGACATACATATCCCGATATAAAAAAAAAAAAAACTTATATATTAAGTAACTATGTGTTAGAAGTGGCGATAGTAATTTTCCTATGGTAAAACAAATTAACAAATTATTTTCAATTACAAGTATTTTTATATAATATATATTAATATGTAATATCTCATTGGAGTTTTCATAACATATTTATATGTTGTGCTGATTTTATGAGATGATTTTCTGAAACTGTGTGTTACATATGCATCATACAAAATTAGAATGTAGATGTTTTATATTTCCAAAGTATCGATCGATGTATTGATGGTCAAAGGTTTTAAAAACTGATTTCAATTTTACGTTAAGTATATTTGAGATCAAAACATTCTCACATTTTTTTTACGAATATTATCCATGAAAACTCTTTATTTCACATAATCAATTTACTTAGAACTAGGAATAAAATGAAATAAAGAATAAATTATACTAAGGTAAACATAATTATGAATTCATATCCGTTTTTTAAATCTTTTTGGTATAGGAAACACTACGATCTACATATGTAATGGAAAAAAAAGAAAGATATCGCTCCCGAACCCCTTTAAGTTAAAAATATGACAAGATGGATTTATTCAATACATAAGATGTTGGTTACACTTTTATCTGTAAATACATTTTAGAGCAGTAAATCTATAGTACACACACTTTATTATTTAATAAATTAGATATCAATACATTTAAATCACACATTGGAGCTATAGAAAGGTACTTAAAACAGTTAATTTATGGACATTCTTATGTTGTATAAAAAAAAGTTTTATTTTATTTCGTACAAATAATTAAAATTTTGGTTTTTAGATTCTGAGCAAAACGAAGAATTTATTGGTTTAACCATGATGTGTACTTTAGTTTATGTGTGTATATGTAAACGACTTCCACCAGAAATATTGCACCGATCATCATAATTGTAAAAGATGTTTTAAAGAAAATTATGTATAATTAATACTTTGAAAGGGTTCGCGGACAATTCACCGTGTGATAATTCACCGCGCGACTATTCACCGCACATAATTCACCGCGTTTACAATTCACCGCGTTTACAATTCACCGTGGTTACAATTAATCGCGGTAACAATTAATCGCGCGAAATTATTTATAAAATAATTAATATAGGACTCGTAAAAAATAAGATTACATATATAAAAATTATAGAAATATTATAAAAATTTATTAAAAAAAATTAAATTATAACATATATAAAAATTATAAAAATGTATGAAAAAAAACTACATTAAACATTTAGCTGAAAATTATGGGCTATGCCTCTTAAATAATCTTCTATTAATATATTTCTATAACTATCACATACTGTTTTTAATCTTGCAGCGAAGTCCTTATATTTTTTTTTCACTACTGTAGAATTACCTAATAAACATTGTTCAATTTGAATTTTATTTAATGTTTCTTCATTTTTGAACGCCTCAATACACTTCCAAATATTTGGATGAATCACATTTAATGTTGATGAAAAACTATTATGCCATCCTTCGACAGAATTGTTAGTTCTCGGAATATTTTCTTTTAAGTAAGCATGACAGTTCCATAGGCTGATTGGAAATAAGGCTGGTTTTCTTCTATTTCTGCGGTCTACTCGACCTATCCACGTGTCTTCAAAATAATTTGTCAATGGAGTTAAAAGCTCTTCATGTGTTGTATAATAATTAGTGTCCATCAAATCGTTGAAAGCCTGTTCAACATCATCTACTGGTACAAAACTAAGAGCGGTCATCATTCTTATTTGAAGAGCAAATTCTGAATCTTCAATATATTGTTGTTGAAGTCCAGTTTGCTGAACATGTCTCCAAACAGACTGGGTAAAATGAAAAAAACAACCTCGAATTTTCGTATCTGGAAAATGTTTTGAGATGGAATTCATGGTAGCTTTCTCGAAATCAACCATTATTGTTTCCGGGCTTAGTCCAGTTTTTATTGATTTCAATGCTTCAAATAAACGACAGTAAGTAGATTCCATTTTATTAGGCAATAATGCAAAAACTGACGGGAATACATTACTGTATTGGATACCATGGATCTGTAAAAAATCATAATATACACATTTATTAAATTTCTATATATTTCTATATGAATATATTTTTGATAAAATCTAACTTTTGTTACATATAATAATAATTGTATGTATTTGTTGCGTATCGCCAAGAAGACGGAATTATTATTATGTTATCATTATATTGTTATTATCTTTATCAAGTAAAAACAGGTTAAATACATTATTATGACAAGTGATAGATGCTATACGTATAGGTATAATATTATACTAATACTTCACGTTTATTGCACGAAATTGCAATTGTTCGGGACGACTAATCTTTATAATGTAAAGATTTACGATTCGTGATTTACGATAAGAATTTTTGGTTTGTTAACCTTTTATTTGAATATAAGTTTAAACTAACTAACTTTAGTTTAATAAAAATGTTACCGTATATATTTGTGTAAACAGTGAAGGTGATGTCGAAAATGTTCCATCTGCATACCAATGCTTACAGTTTTTCATAAGACGTAAATTTCTTTCGGTCGAAAATAAAAGTATTCGGTCTTCTCCTGGGCCACTATCATGCAACAAAAATGGATGTTCATCGTTTGTTAACCGATACTTTTGGGGTATCACTAAATCACTAAGTGATTTTGGGTTAAGTGGTATAGTCTC